AAAAAATTTGAAAAAAAAAATTTGAAAAAAAAATAAAATTTACCATACTGAATATCATTCGTTTGACTTTATTTTGCATGGAAGTTGTCAATAAAAGTGAAATTGTGGGATTGACGTCTATGTGTACATTTCATTAGAGTTCAAAATATGTTGAACGGAAAAATGTGTTTTTTTAAAAATTGTCCTATCATGTATAACGCCATATATAGCATGATTGCTATAAATTAGTCATTGTGGGGACCACATGACATATTAAAAAATATCAATAAAAGAGAATGAAAAATAGATTGGCAATTGTCTTCTTTCTCTCATTCTATCACATAGACACGAAGGCACCAAGAGGAAAAAACAGAAATGAAGAGGAAAAATGGTAAAAGAAACCTGGGAAGAAGCATCACTAATTTTCATCCGGGAGATATTTAACTTTCTCGCTGGGAATTAATTCTCCGTTTTGGCTACAATACAAGGTAAGAAAGAGAATTTAAATTTAAAAATCTGTTAGTGTTTATGAATGGACATACATACAGCCAGAAATAGACTAAAAGGTAAAAGGGGTTGGCGGTATTTGTACGTGACTACGTGTATTTGAGTTACAATTGGAATTCAATGCAAAAAAAAATGCTTCTCGTGTATCACTATTTATAGTGGATAAATTTAATTAAAACGGTCAAAATTTCTTCACCGCTTAAATAGTTGTGATTACGTAACATGGGCTAATGGCAAAAATAAGGTAGGGGAATTTTTTTTAGGAAGAATTGCAGCAACTATCCCTGATCTTTTTAATTTTTACAGACTTTAATCTAACCTTCATTTTGTATCAACGAATGTCTCTAATATTTCATAAATATGCAGTTAGAGTCCAAATGAATGGAAAATATCAATTTGACTGTTAGTTGACAAAAATAAAAAGTGGATGTTCACCAATTTTGACTAAATTGAAATGGGTGAAATGATAAGTTTAAAATTACACATTAAATAGAAAAATAAAAAACCAAAGAACTAAAAAAAAATGGTTTATTCTTCACTCTCAACTTATCCACCACAATTAAAAATCAGCCACCAACATTGATCGACACTACCGCCAATTATATTTGTCCCCAACACCGCTCAACTATCGGACCCACACCATCTAAAAGCTTTCATTCCCTTCTACACATCACACATAACCACCCAACCTAACTCCACCAGACGTTGCTAAAAAACCACCCAAAACCCTTAACTCGCAAACTCAGAAACTTCCGGCAACTCCTCCGATCACACCTATCGTCGCAGACTATCGCCGATCAACTCTCACAATCGAGACATTCAATCTGATGACGGGACAAACAATCGATGCAGCTTTTGGGATTTTAAATCCCGATCTCACGCTATTGCAATTTTCCTATTCACAAACTCACTTGGGGAAAATCCAATTCCTAGTAGCCAAGCAGCCACTAATGCATCAATGTTTTTTATTTCAGTGCAGCTGCTGAAGAGGTTGTAAATGAAAAATCAGTGTGGCGGCGTGTTGGTGGCTGGGTGATTTGATTTCTGGTTTCATATTGACGGTGGTGGGCGTGGGTGGCAGGAGCCGGTGACTTTTCTTGGCTTGGCGTTTTAGTGTGAGTGAGTTTTCTTGATTTGATTTTTGAATGTGAAGTGGGCTGGAAGGTGGCAATGGAGACTGCCAACACTGGTAATTGATTGTGGTGGGTTGGAATTGTGGTGGCAATGTGGATCGAAGGTGGCGGTTTCTGTAGGGTCTTGCTGGAGAAGAAGGGGGATATACCACTAAATGACC